AAAATGGTTTGTCTTCGTTACACCTAGGACACAGTAAGGGAAAATAACACTCTTCCTAATGTTCGGGATGTGTCGCAGACGATACTGTGTGCGGTATCTTGATGTTGCACATTGAGAAGGACGTGACGCAGACAATTGTGCAGAACACTGATATTTATGCCTGTGTTGTAGAAACGTTGCAGGCCAACTCGACGCCCAGGGTCTGTTTGGTGTACGCATCTTGGTGTAGGTCTAGATTTGTGAATTGAACTAAATTACTTTAATATGAAGACCTCATAATGCACAATACAGTAACAAACGCTGTACAGAGTAACAAGAGTGTGCTGGAACATTGAATGGTTTATCGTGGCATGTGTACCCAGGATGTGATCAATTAATTCCATTAAATTATTCTCCTTCCCAGGAGCACACTGAGACACTGAGCAGCACTCCACAGGCTAAAAGGCAACATTGTTACTGGTGGGTCAAAGGTTAAGGGCGAAGGAGATATTTCCCTTGGGTTTTTTTTTTCTGTCCTGCCGTCCAAGTTTCCTGAATTCCTCTGGCGACACATGTCTGATGAATGTGGTCAGTACCAACGGAGAAGGGGGAATAGAATTTACACGCTCGTAATCCGGGAGACAAGTCACAACCTGAGTTTCTTATCGCATCTCGCAGGCTCTGCAAACGAGCGCCCCATGACGGCGTGTGCGTGCCGGCCAGCCCGGGGGAGGGCATGGAGATGTGTTGGACAGGATTTGTTTTCATCTGCTTTCTGTTTTCCTTCATACCGCAGCTCTAGTGAAGTCGCCGCCACGCAGCGACGGAAAGCAACCCCTCATAATCAGATGCAAGACTGCGAAAATCCTAACCCCGTCAACAGAGAGCTTTTCAAAATCCTTCTCCTCCGGAGCAGAATTGTTCCTCCTGATTTCCTGAAAGTCCAAAAGCAAAAAAATATATATATTAAAAAATGAAATTTTGGCAAGAGGCAGGGCAGTACACCAATGGCAACGAGAGATTACGGGACTGTTTTATTTTTTTGGAATACCTGAGTTTTGTATGGAGTTGTAGCCAGATATTGCGCTAGAGCACGAAGTACTGACAGTCGTCCTGTGTGCGATTCGATCTGGACGGCGTTTTAATGCGCGTGTTCTGTGTTGCAGAGTCGCCTCCCCCTCCTTACTCACGACTTTCTCCCACTGAAGAGCTCAAGCCACTGGGTAAGTCCGGGGCCCAGAGCCCTCCCCACACACACACAGACACTGCAGTCTGATTTAACACACCCCTGCAATTCTGAACTCACGCGACCGTGTGCCGCCGCCGCCGCCGCCGCCTTCCCTGAAAACCTGCCCGTTTCTGGTTATAAAAGTGTTTTTTTTCTTTGCTATTTCCCTGGAAGTTGAAAAGAGAGATACATTTTTCTTTAAATGAAAAGCGCAGGAATTTAGGGAGTCGGATTGCACGGCTAAGGTGAAAGGGCATGTATCTGAGTGCCGGGGGGGAGGACATGGGTTGAGTTCGATGTGTGGAGATGAAGTGGGCACACCTCCAGGCTCTGTAGGGTCCGAGGGAGGAATTAAAAGCTGAGTTGTATTATCTTACTGCTGGGCTCATACATCCTGTTCCTCAGAGGCCACAAGCCAGCAGGTTTCAAAGAACTTCTCATGTCACCAACAGCTTAAGACTAGTGGAGAGAAGGGTTCAACTGGTACAATCAGATTTTGAATAGACTTAGGAAACATCCTGGTGTCTTCCCCCTTTTTTCAACGACTTTTTTTTTAATTAAAAAGCCTCGAACCCAGCAGGAAGTGAGAGAGGAAGAGGCTGCAGCCAGGCAAGGCCAAACAATGGCTGCATGCCTGCTTAATGCCGAACGTCTGCCCCAGTTGTGAGCGCGGAGGAACGGGAGAAAGCAGGCAGGAATAAAAGTGCATGAGGGTTTTTAATGGTGGTAATTAAGTACAGTAACCAGGAATGGTTACAGGGAACTTAAGCCAATAAGCCCCAAGTTTCAGCCTGCTCAGCTCAGCCTGTGCTCCATGTGGTCCCCCTCCTGAGGTCCCCGCTGGCTGCTGTAATTCCCCAAACCCTTGACTGTAGGAATGCCTCGGTCCCGGCCTGCAGTCCCGATCCAGAGCTTCAGCTGGGAGTCTTCAAATAAAGTGCCCTCTGTTAAAGTGAAACTCGAAGAGCCCATAGCTGGGAATCACCAGCAGCGATTTGCTCTCTGCTTATTAGTGGGCTGATTTAATTGCCTTCCAGTTTAAGCCTCCTGGTTCGTATGTGATAGATGGTGCGGTTTGCATTATATGTCATCGTCGGCCTTCCACGCGCTTTACCCTTGGCTTTTGCTTTGTATGGTAATCATTAATATCAAACATCATATCAAACAGAGTTGCTCAAGAGGCATGTTTATTCCCGTTAACAGTTCTGTGAGGAAATATGACTCCGATGTAAAGCAGGGTCCTGTTGCTCCTGTTGAAGTTCTGTTTTGTGTGGAATTGGTTTACACTTGTTTGTGCGTGTGCTTCCAACTCCTACAGTTTCTCTTCCTTGCCTCCTGCAGATCTGTCGGATTCAACATTGTCTTACACTGAAACGGAGGCCACAAGTTCCCCTAACGTCAGCCCGGGTGACTTCTCAGGTGAGTACGAGTGTTGCTGGATTGCCGTCTCTTTCTGCATGCAGGCCACGAGTGTACAGGCGTGCCAACTGCAGGTGGGCTGGGCCCACATGGCATTACTGTATGAGAACTTGGATTAGAAGAGTTGTGAGGATCTGGAATCAGCAGGGTATGGTGCTGTTGGGAGTTTGCGGCTGGTGGGTGCTGGGATTGCCCTGGAATGGGTTGTTCGATTGCAGTTGGAGTCTGGTGGTGTAGTGTACCTTTTTACACCTTTGCAGGGAGAGTTTTGTTTCTATGTGGGTATTGTTAATATGCACATTTAAATATTGTGGCCTGTAGAAATTGGTTACCAACTCTCTACTATTCTAATAGCAAATGTATGGGTTTTAGCTTACCGTTTTTTTTTCCTAATATTTTCTCAAGCGAAGTATGATGTACTTAACATTTTCATATTTCATATTTTCACGTGCTATGTGTTTTGTGTTGCGAGTTAAAGTGCGCTGCTGTGATTGAACAAAAATGTCTCTGATTAAAGACAAAGGAAAATATTTGATTTAAAAAATCTCGCATGGCTTTTCCTTTTATTAGCGAATTCCATGTGCCTCATATCTATCTGAAAGACACCGTGTCTATGATTCAGAGTGACTTGTCCACTTTACCCATTATCTCCACCTGCTATCGGTGACTATGTTTCATACAAACCTGCTTTGGAACGCAGTGAGGTCAACTGTTTGTTGCCAGATCTTGGTTACCATTAGTAACATGCTGTGTGTGTATAGAATACTGAGTGTGCAAGATTAGCATTGTTTGCTGCAACGCCTATGTTGGCACAGAGAGAGAAAAGTGGCTATTTTTATACAGGCTGAAGATGGGACTTCTTTGCCTGGGACCCTTCAGACATACCGGTAGTGAGGCAGAGCTCCCCCTAGAGGTGCAGAGGGCTCCAGACAAGGGCTGCTGCCCAGACTGAGCTTTCGGGGTTTTCTTTTTTGATTCAGACTTTTCCACGAGAAAAAAAAAAAGCGACTCTTAAGGTTGACGTTGTGGAGGGAGCTCACGGAAGCACTGAGGGCCACTGCTCTCTGGAGCTGCCAAGAATTTAAAATGGCTTTGTGTTTTGGTTATTGAAAGTTCATTACCAGTCTGTCGGTCAAATATGAAACCAGTCACCCATTCCTTTCTGGTTACTGCCGGTTGGTTTGAAAGTGTAAAGTCCATGGAGGCTGTGTATCCCAACATGTGGATCGCTACTGCTTGGAAGCAAGGGCACTGTCCACATGTTGACATGTGTGACACCGATTATCACGATTTCATCTCCACACACCGAAGCCCATTTATTTCCCTTAATAAGACAGGAGCAGATCGATGAGGTTGCAAAATGTCACGAGTCTTGCAGGTGGATAACGTAAGGTGGTGACTAAGCGTCTGTTGAAAACCCCTTCCGAAAGTCTTACAGAGTACCAGGGGACCACAGTGATATAAGGCACAGGGTTTCAGCATTGCCTTAGGAAGAAGGCAAACCCCAGCGAGCCCCCGATTTTCAGTTTGTTAAGACAAGTGGTTGCTGGCGCAGCTGTCCTAGTGCACTATCCTGGTCCTGGGCTTTTTCAGGCAGACCACGTTGCTCTCTGTTATGTTTGGATGAATGGACAAACATGGATTTAAGGCTGTTAAGACTCCAGGGAGGTCAAGGTCTGATGGTGAGCAGCCAGAGTCTACCGGAGAGAGGCAGTTTTAGAGAGAGCATCGCTGTTGTGGAAAATGGTGAAAGTCGGCTTCTGTTTTTTGGTAGTACGTAGGCAGACAGAAACTGTAAGTAAAAGTTACTGGAAGAAGATTCCGCCCTCCCTTTTGCTTTCAAGACCCAGAAAGAATCATCCCCCGAGCCGGAGAGCAGTGCTGTGGGAGAGGGCGCATGAACCACTCTAGCTAGACTGTGCTTCCGGGGAACGGAAACTGTCCAGTCTCAGTGAAGGTTAGAGTCTCTGCAGGTTTTCATTCCAACTCATCTCATACCGTGTGATACACCAGCTGGTTACTGTGCTAACTGGACTAAATGAACAGCTTCTCCCAGCTCTGCAGGTGTGTCTGCCTAAAAGATCACTTCAAAACCGAAAGTCACGCCAGGCCTCCAGGACCAGGATGTGACATTCCTGGTCTATGCCGGTGGTGTTCAGCCGTTTTTGTTTAACATGTTTTAGTGCTGTTTCCATTAAGTTCAGCAGAGAGAACATGCAGCCTCTTCTTAACTTCCTGTCCATTATTTCTGCCTAAAAAAAAAGCTCTTACTAGCTGATCATTTGATGAACAGACGCAGGTGGGAGGGACACTTTCAGGTTTTCTCGTAATGAGCATTTGTTTTTCCTTCTGCAGAGATCTAATTGGTTTCATTCCAGGCAGCACACCTGAAAGAAGGCAGTTCTAAAACAAGCAAATTGGTAGAGGTCAATGCCATCTGACCTTTTTAGAGCTGAAAGTAAATCGGCAAATGCGCCCTAAATAGAAAACTGAAATCAATAAACCAGAAGAGTGTTCCTCCAAACTCAGGGTTGGGAACTACTGGTCTGCATTTATTTCATTGCTTATTCATGATTTTCTAACAATGTACAGGCTGTCCAGAGGTCCCTGCAGGGCCCCAGTCAGCCGCTGGTTCAGGAGTAGGGGTGATAATTCCTCATCAGCTGAGGTCCCACAGACTGTAAGTGTGCCACTTTCATGGCCATGAGTGAGACGTTGCCAAACATGTCTTCTGCGAAGTGAATGGAGTACAGGCAGCTTGATTATCTCCCCCTGCATTCTGAGGTTAGAGGTGAGGTGGTCTAAGAACATAAGGGAGGTCACAGTTTAGAGGAAGGTGTTTGGCCAAAGCTCTGATCCAGCCACTTCCTGAAAGAAGCCATGGAATCAGCTTCAACAAAACTGTCGGGTAGTTTGTTCCATACTCCCGCCACCCTTTGCGTGCCTCTTCAGAAGTTCTCCTTGTAGTTTCCACTTGTGTCCTCTGGTTCGTGTTTCACTGTTCGTTCTGGAGAATTGTCCCTGCTTTGTCACTGCCTGGGAGGATTTTGAATTCTTGTATCAGGTCCCCTTGTAGTCCTCTCTGTTCAAGACTAAAAAAAATTCTGTTCCTTCAGCCTGCCAGTGTAGGACATTCCCTTTGGCCCTGGAATGTATCTAGTTGCCTTTCCCTGGACTGATTCCAGAGCAGCAATATTTCTATAGCATGGTGATAAGGTGATCCTGCCCATTGGAAGCAGGCATGCAGTCAGAGGCTGTGCAGAGTAACTATCTGTTCTTGTGTCTTAACACTTGCTCCAGCTAAACCAGACCCTTGGAATTCCTGATCCTAATAACAGGGAGGATGGCTCATAGATACAGTTTGTAAAGAGTAAATGACCACTTATTGGATTAAGTATAGCAAAGGTCTTTTATAAATGTTTATGCTACCATTTAGAGCAAGTTAATAGGCTCATTAGTGAGTTAATAGGTTAATAGGTTCTTAAGAGTTGTAAGAGAAACCAAACTAAAGTGTGAGTGAATTAATAGATGTGATTCGTCATTTCCACCACGTTTTGCTACAGAGACAGTCAATATAGTCAAGTCGGAATAAAGATGAAGTGGGGGTGAGCAATGCAGTTGGTTACCTGTGGCTCATTACTGTGAGTAACGCTGAGCTGGTTACTGTCCGCAGCTGGAAGGCACAGACCTGGATTCTCATGCAGCCACTTGGTTTGCTGGTGACCCGGATAATAAAATTCTCCTCGGTATCTCATTTACTGTAGATCAAACTCAAGTCCCAGAAAGACCTGGAGGTGGAATTCTTTCCCTCGGGCAGGTTAATCAGTTGAAAAGAGAGGATAAATTAAGAGGAATTGTCTGTGCTATCAGCCCCCTCCCTCCGCCCTCCTCCCTGGGACTGGTTAATCCTTTAAAAGCAGTGCTTTTTGAAAAACTGTTCAGGGTTAGGAGCAGGGTTCTGCTGCAGGTGGGGACCTTAAACTGCAGTGTTATCTTGAGGTACAACACACACAACTTTGTTGCTGAGAACTCCCAAATCTGGCCGGATTGGCGCAATACTTTTTTAACTCTTAAATGCATAAATTTTGAGTATTTTAATAATATAGATTTAATTATTCAATTTCCTAAATTGACATTTTCCGTTTTAGTAGCCTGATGTGAGCTGTATATGAACTCTGTTCGAGTCATGCAACATAATGCAACATAAACAATAGGAAAGGCCTCCATGGTAAATGTTTTTAATGTATTCTCAAGAGTGTAGAATTGATGTCACAGGAAATCCTAAGATTCGGCAATGTGTTAGTTAGATGTCGCTTTGTGAGAATATGGTATTCAGTTTTGGTTAGCGTGAGAAAAACAAGTTAATCTAGAGCAGGGGTTCATGACGGTACTGCAGGGGGTCCGAGAGATTGTGATGGAAACATCAGTCAAATTAAATAGTCCTATTAATGAATAACAATGTAAGAATAAGAAAAACAAAAATTAAAATTTTACAAAATGTAACGAAGCATGTTAAGGGATTTTTGCTGTAGCATTTATCTACATTTATTGAAAAGTTTGATTTAGTTAAAATCTCAAGGGGGTGCTTGAGGCAAATAATTTAGGTTGAAGGGGTTCAGCTGAGAGAAAAGGTTGGGAACCCCTGCTCTAAAGAAAAGGAACACAACAAGACTGATCCCTGCTCTGAAGGGAATGCTGCTCGGCCTGAAACTGAATGATAGCCTGGAGCCTTAGAAAAGTCCCTCTAAAGCGAAACAGTCTTTTGAGACAGGTAAGGCTACAGCTCCCAAGAATAGATGCCGCTGGGAATTGATTCAGGTGTTTGAAACCCAGAAAGGCACTGGGCAATTCCGCCATTCAAAACCCAAAACGGGAGGCTCCTTTACCCCGAGGGTTGTGGGAGCCTGGAGCGAGCTTGCAAACCGACCTGGGGGGATCCTTTAAGAAAGGGCTCAGTGGTTTAGGGTGGCAAGTAGTGCAGCTTTGAAATGCGTTTTGTA